AAACAAACCAGCTGAAAGCAATCAGTGTCAAAAGTAGGTGTAATTTACAATGTATAACAGCTTAAAAAAATAAGAAAGGAAATTACATGTATATTTATTACATTACCAGCAATGAATGCATCACTAGCAAGTGTCGATGAGGAAAATCGGTTTACTAATAACACTTTCATATCCCAAATACACACAATGGTTGACTTTTACCATGTACACATTGGTACATGTAGTTTGATACTCATGACGAACATAGGGTGATTGTGTAAAAGTGGCTTTCTAATTGCAGAAATGAATTAGTTTATTAAGCCCCACATGTACGTTATCACGATTCAATGAAAATGAGATACCTAGTACTGTATTACTATTATCTTGCTCATATGGAATTATATTTTAAATCATTTGGGGAGAATTCTGTGAATCAAAGGATATACATGTAATGTACCATTATTCAAGTTAACTTTTCAAAGGTAAGCCTGATTTCCTTCAGCAACACTAAGATTTTTGTGTAAAATTTCTTTTAGAGATGATGAGGTAAAACTGCATTTTTAAAATCATTTTCTGCAATACAGGCCTACAGGACTTCAAATAAGCATGCATTTCTATATTTGGACATGAAGTTTACACTGAGGCAACTTCTTTTCTAAACTGCTGACCTGATCATTTCTTTTTTATGAGTGCTCTGTGTTAAGTAGACAAACTGGATGATTGTCAAGAATCACAAATGCATGCATTTGGGGGATAATGTAATGACATGTACTTCTCAGAGTTTGATATAAACAACAGTCAGTAGGCCTCCATGGCCTCCCTATCACATTCACATGCATAGGCAATCCAGAAAAATAAAACGATTTGGGAGCACTAAAAATGAAAAATCTGAGCATCTCAAGCAAAATAAACAGGGTTTTGACGCAGGGATAACATTTACAATCATAACTTGGCTGAAAAGATTGTACCTAATGATGGTATATCGTTCATGTAGTAAGTAGGTAAAACGAGTTCATACAGCAAGCCGGCACGGATCATGTACGTACATGTACGTGTGCGTGCGTGTTGCACCGTCGTCAAGACCGTGTGCATTCACAATTACACAGCTGATCAGCACACAGTGAATGAGTGATGTAGACACAGTGCATGCAGTGGCAGTAATGCGACGCATTGTGTGTAACGTCAGTGTGGATAGCGCCGCCAGGGCGGTACGGCGCGGCGCATGTAAAAACCAGCAGGGCCCAACCCGTCAACAATTCCCCCAACTTACTGTCTTCGTTACACCTTTCGTAAGCGCAGTATTTGTTCCTCGCCACCATCCCGGCTCTCTCGACGCAGGACTTCACGTTCGAAGGACTGACGGTCCGTCTCCGACTCTCCGTAGCAGCCGCCATATTGGAATGAAAGCCGCACCGCGCACTCGCCCACTTGCCACACCCTCAGCAACATCCGGGTCTCTACGGCTCCACCCCGGGGTCACTCGGGGTCAACCTTTGACTGCTATGCCGCGCCCTTTGAAGTTGCAGGGACGAGCTCGGAAAATCGTCGCACGGAAGGACGCAAAGGCACATGCGGTCACGCAGGGGACAGAATTTCCGGCTGTTAAATCCCGACAATAAAATTGATAAAACACTTCAGGGATACTTTGGTACACCCCTTTCCGTATATCCGCCAATTTAGTAGAGTGTAACCTTCAGCTTCGCGAATTGTATCGCGAAACATTAAAATGAGCTTGGTGCTTGGGCTCCGTTGATGCGATCTGGAAAAAAAAAGAAACACAGTAAAGAAAAAAATATAGATGAAAATGAGAAGAAAAGCGTAAGCACAAAAAATGGGACCATCAATGGTCGTCCTAAAATGATGTAAGGCGTCAGAGCAGTTCAGTGTTGTAGGAGAATTGGACTTATCAAGTGCAAAGCCCCACCCACTGAATTTGCCCGTTACGTTTCACTTAAAAAATGTTTATTCCAGCTTCATGGAAGTAAACCTCCCGTGGAAACATAAAGGCAGTGCAGTGAATAACAGATAAAATTATGTAACACATTTTGTGCAACTTTTCGTTGATTGTACATGCAGAAACTTGAACCCGCTTGTTTCGATTCATTGTATCATTGAAAAGTTTAAAGTTTATATGTCCATTTCTGAACAACTGGGGGCGCTGTTCAGTTTGGGGATTTTTGTTCAAATTGCGAGACCAAAATATGCATAATGGAAAAATTTCCATTTGTCCATTAGTTTCCTTCCATTTACATATAACAATATATCATCTGAAAAAAGGTCACCTACGGCAACTTATCAATAAAGGCAAAAACTCAAGCAATTACAAGAGGTTCTCCCTGAAAGATATCACACTGAATTTTCCTCACAGATATGTAATATTTTATTGGCATAAAAATGAGCCAGCCACCAGAGCAAACATTAAACAGGCAAAACAAAATCATTAAATAGGGCACCGTGGTGCTTTTTCATGGACTACATATAAAAATAATTCCACTGTATATGACCTTACAGAAAGTTTCTGACACGACAAAGTAAAAAAGAAAGGGAGATACATGTCACTGCTTTGTTTCTTAAAGTGTAGCTAAAATAAATTTGTCTTCTGACACGTTTCTGCAATTCTGTACTCACTCTTCACTGTATGAAAACAATTTGACAACCCTACATGGATAAATACATTTAAAATTATCCATGCTTTCAGTCCTGGACAATCAAGAGCACTATTACTGTTAAGCCATCTGCAAGGAAGACATGGTTTAGTGCACAAGTTTTCTGTTCAAATTGTGACCCCAGTTCCAGGATTCGCTCCCCGAACTCATTTCTGAGAGAATTGCTTGCTTGACTACTGCAATGTACATGTATATCAAGATGAACTTTGCATCAGGGGGATGTTAATTTTAATTACAGGTTTTGCCCTTACACCAACATATATTCATAAACACTGTGTACTCAGTGCTTGTCCGAGAGCTTATGATCAACCAGCTGACCCCAAGCAAGCTCGGAGGTCAAGTGGCTAACACTAGTAAACAGGTCATGGATTTGGGTCCCACCTGAGTAAGCTTGTGAATTTCATAAGCTCTCAGACCAGCACTAAGTATACAGTGTTTATGGGTACACATCAGTGTAAGGGCAAAACCTAGAATCAAAATATCTGGATATACTTACAAAACAATAAATCACCAAAGAAATGAATAGTGAGGCTTGCAAAATTCAAAAATGCATTTTTTGTGTGCATAAACCAATGTAAATTGAGGTTTTCGTAATGGATGATCACAGTTTTGCTCATGAATATGGAAATACATTACCATAAAAACCAAAAGGACAGCAAAATATCCTTTAAAATAGTGAAATAAACACTAAAGAGAGGTTTACCGAGACACATTGGTGTACTTTGGAAATCTCTATTGAAAAAAAAATCCATTGCTGATACCCTTTCAGGCAGCTCAAGGAAACACTTCCAATAGTACCCAAGTGTTTTACCAAATAATATTACTCATGTAACTAACTGTGACAATTTTTAAATGCCAAACCAGACTCACTCAAGTTATACCTGTTATTCATCAAAACTGGTGTTTATTATTTTATCATTTTCATAAATATGGAAAAAGTCACTAGGTACAATAATGAAGTACCTATAAGCAAGTCAAATTAATAATTTGGGAGACAATTAAATATGGAAGAAAACCTGCCTTAAAAAGTCACAATTTAATGTTTCCTTACAAATACATATGTAATGCGATACTGACTCAAATTACATTTATTTCAAAAATGATAAATGTATAAGGCTAGGATAACTACTCCCTGCATATTTCAAGATCTGATACGAAGTTAGCAAATAATAAAACAGCACGTTTCTAATCTACTTCTTGAGTAACATATTTCTTAATACATTTTAACTTAACCAAGTTTCTCCTTTTTACAACTTACTTCAGGGAGTAGATTTGTACCATTAAATAAATGGATTTGAACTTCATGGCACTGCTAAGGACATACTGCTAAGCACCTTGAAGATCTGAGCAAGATTCAGCTAGGAAGAGTCGCAAGCAATGCAGGGAACATGACATTTGGCCGGTGGCCTACAGTTGCTTAACAAGTCTGTTATGCTCTTAGCTGGTAAGTGAAATTGGTCCCAAGTCTGATCAGGGGTACACTGGTGCTCCTATCTGGAGGAGTTTGATATCTCTGAGCTTTCTATTATAGGGGCTGTGTACAAATCTTGAAATAAATTGCAACCATCAAAGAAACAGAAATAAAAATCAACAGAAACTGTCCAAACTTTCGCCCACACAACATCTGCATTCTTGAGTGGGTGAGACTGAGTCACAAATAAAAATGGAAGTGCAGACAGAACGAAAAATTCCTGGAAATGTCCTTCAGACTCAAATTGACCCAAACTGAGGGATTCGATCACATACAGGAACACTGGTAATTATCCAATTTGGCAATGTTTGCACATGCACGTTCACACAAACCTGTCTCCGACGGGGGCACACTTCACTGCGAAGGGAAAGGGCACATTTCCAAAACAAGACTTCAAAAAAGAGTGGGGTGGTTGGCTGGACACTTATGTAGAAAGGTGGGAAATTTCTCTTCAATAGGGTTTATCTCCTCCAACTTCCAAAGATATTCTTCCACCACTGATTTTCCTTCACATTTGGAACAGTTTGATACATTCTGCTGTTGGACGCATATAGCTTTATCCAAATAAAGTGTTAGAGTAA